CATCTCTTTCTTCCATTCTAGGAAGAAGATCTGGGGATATCTGTGGTGACAATCCTTTATTCGCCCCCCTTTATTTAGTACATTCAGATTCGGATTCTTCGAAAACGAAAGAAACGTAATGTATGAATTATGTTTTTGTTTGCCTTTTTCCCTTTTTTTCAACCTTGCAACGGTTTATTTCCTGTTTGGCGATATGGATGAATTATTATATGTATTAATACATCGTTTGTTCTACCAACCGAAACAGGACGACAGCATTTCATGTCTTTGTAGATAAAAATATTTCATATTTTTTTGCTACATTCACTTTTTTCTTTTCAAATCAAAACACATTTATTTAATTCAAGTTCCTCAGTACGTAAACGACGAAATAGTCCTTGGCTAGTTCCTGATTCCAAAAGATTGTAAAGCTTTTAAATAATTTATTTCAATTAATTAATCTTTATGTAAGATAAAAGTCAGTGTCACCAACGATGAAGTCACGATAGCTCAAGTGGTAGAGCAGCGGCGTATTTTGCCGAAGGTCGCGGGTTCGAATCCCGCTCGTGACACTGACGTTTTATCTCAACCAATACCTCACATAAAGATTAATTAATTGAAAGAAGTTATTTGGTTAATCGGACCACGAAATCTAATGGCTTTTAAATAATAAGAAAAAAAGTTAAATTGACATCATCATCCCTTCACACAAAACATATAACATATAAAACAATCACACATCAAACATTTCTACATAGTCTAATTCTTCAACAATTTGGTTTTCCTTACCCTAGTTATCCCCGTCTATATAATCCTGAAAGGATAATCAGGCCAAACCATCACCCACTTTTTCCCATTGTCGGCTCCTTTCACCTCAAAGAAGCCGACTTCTCGTATAAAAATGGATTTATATCTCTACTTCCTTCCCCACTCCTTCAAAATCCAAACATAAAACGTCAATATCTCACTGGCACTCTCAACACGACTCACAATTATGACACTTATACACAGAAAACAAACACTTTGAGTGAGTACAAATACTTTCATTGAGTCTAAAATTTCTAGCATTGTATAAATTCATTTTTTTCCCACATCCTACATGTATTTGTAAAATTTAACCAATGTTTATAAATCCCAGGCCCTGATGATGATCTCAATAAAGATCGAAACGTTGGCAGATAAAGAAAATGTTTTTATAAAACCTACGTCACACCAGACCGCATCTCACGATAATTATATTGACAACGTTATTTAAATATCAACCGACAAAAATTAATATATTTTTTAAGTTACTTTTATAATGTTTGTTAATTACTTAAATATCAAAGATAGTTGGTTTAAAAATCATACGTCAAGAAAACAAAAATTATTTTATGCAATGAAATATTGTTAGGCAAATTTACTTTTTAGTAAAAACCGAATTTTTGTGCAATAAAAAATTGGAATAAAGGTAAAAAGTCCCATTTAATATAGTAAAAATTTTATTTACATAATAAAATAATTATCGTTTTTTTTTCACCCATTTACCAACTTACTAATATAATAGTACTATAACTATTTTATCCTACGAAAAGGAGGTTGTTGTCTGGAGGGTAACGAAATGGCGGAGGATGCGACTAATGCCGGGCCCTTCCGACCTCCGGACTTAACCATCGCAGTTCTGCCTGCTGACGCTAAAAATTTGATAAAACAAAGAAACTCAGCATCGGTGGGTCGTATCTTGCGTACGAAGAGCACCATCGGTGGACCTAACTGTTCATGAATGTTCATTCACAACAGATTAAGAATAGGCCATGTGAGGTTGACACACAGACACTAACTTTTGTGACAATGCCAGAGTATGTGTACTGCATGCAGAAAATGTTTGCTTGATATGTCGCACCCAATTGAAGGGTGCAATCCCTTGGCTCGTTATAAAGTGCGCGTAACACTGTATCCCTACAGAATAATTGTGCGTGAACACGGCAACGATTTTCTGGGCCGACTGTTCCGAGTTTTTAAGGCGACAGGGTTGTTTTATATATTTATTGTGTGAGAAAGCCGATGGCGATTGAGCAACCCATTGACCCTTAATTAGATTAGTTATAATAGTATGTCTGGAGGGTGAAGGAGGAATATCAAGTACTCCACCACCCTAACTGAATGAATGGTAGGTAAACAGTACAAAATGTATTTAAGAGTGAGTGATAGTGAGAACGGATTTAGGAACTGGTTGCGTCGGGTGCTAAAAAGACCTAACTGTTGACAGCCCCCGGTGCCCAACCTCGGCGGCTGGATTGACAAAACCGAGGTCGGACCCCTTTGAGGATGATGCTCGAGACCAGCCAATAATTTATTGTAAATTTAGCAAGCTGGAATTGCCGCTGGACTGCTAGAAGTGATATGCTTAACAATGTACGCGGATGTATGTATGTACTTGCGTGAGCAGATTTGAACTTATACAATTCAGTAATCAGTATAGTTATTTTACGTAAAAGATATTTGAATTAAGGTCATTGCTACAGGTACCTTAGAAGAAATATCCTACTTCAGAGATACGTACCTCAATTTTATTAAATTATGCTCATGAAATATAATTAATTATACTTTTAATCTAATTCTTAAAATATTTAATACACTTAATATGTAATGACCACTAAATATGTATGGATCAATAAAAACGTCTTGGAAAAATGATTAGATCTTTAATTTAAATGGAATATAGATTTATGCCTTATACATTTTTTTAAATTCACTGTGTTAATTGGTTTGAGAGTTTAGTTGCTTGAATAGCAATCGTTTAATTTTTTTCATTTTTCAAAATAGAAGTCATTTTTTAAGCATACCAGAAGTTGATGGGGCCATTTAGATACAAGAAACGTTTCAAAATTAGTGAGATATTTCGAATTTTTATAGTGTATTAAAATGGAGATTTAAGGGGAGCTTTTATCTCCGATGCTCGGTTATCCGTTTAAAATTTTTTAAGGGTTCGCAATAGCACTCATATCAACCACTAGGGTTACCTTACACCGCTCTGGCCGTGTCATTACATAAACGTTGCAGTCACTGACGTCCCCATCCCCTTTTCTTTAAAAACAATTTTTCCATCGGTCTTCGGCTCAAAAAAATCGTATCCTATGTTCGCAATCTCGTAGCTTTTACAGTGCCGTTCTTTTCCCTTCATTTTGTCCGGAAAAGACTACAGTCATAGGCGCGGGGCCAAGGTTATAATCAGGTCGAAACGGCGTTCTCATTTTTAGTTGTAGCCAACGCCTTGGAACTTTAGGTATATGCCACTTAACAATCTTATTTTTTTCGTGACTTTCCCAAGCCTTAAAAAGACTGAGAAATGAAAATTGAGAAATTCACAAGCGATGGAGCAGATCTGCGGATGTCGAATATAAACAAATTTCATGGAAAATTCTAAGCATAAGATTTTACCCTCAATTTGTTTATTCATTCCTATTAACCTATCAAAATTTTACATATTTTCTTGTATTTTTATGCTTAAAATATAATAAACATAAACAAACTAGAAAGAAATGCAATTTTGTGCAGTAAAGTATAAAAACGTGTAATTTTATGCAAATAAGTGAAATATCAAAAGAATGTTCCGTGTTTCGAATTTGTGTCTTGGTTTTATTCCAATCGGAGTTATCAATAAAAATATGCAATTGCACGGGTGTCCTTCCTTTACTTATCATTTTACAAATAATGAAGCCGTTTTTTATTTCTATTTGTTAAACGCCTGACAAATTCATATTAGTGTTATATGGTTATGTAAAATATGTAAACAAACATTTATTTTTCAAAGGACGACATATTTCATCAATTACACGTAGCAAACACGACGAGAAAATATATATTTATATAAAATACGCTCCATCACATGATCGGCCATTACGCATACGAGAATTCATACCATTAACATTTTATCTAGGCTGTTGGGTGGAAAATTCTCACTTTTTACAAATTTTATATTTTTAAATAATAAAGGAGGCGGATACCAACTGGTATAGGGTTGTTTAATTAATTATTTCTGTTAGTTGGTATTTCTATATTTCTATCAGTATTTTTCCATATTATAATCGTTAAAATGTATATTTGTTATATTTTGTTCGTTCCTTTCTACCGTTAAATTTTTTTATTGTTATCTCTAGCCTGGCTCAGTTACTGTTATTAAATCAGATTGGTTGTATAATTTGTTTATATACAATTAATTAAGGTTTTCAGTTGAGATAAAAATGTCAATGGTTCGAGTGGGATTCGAACCCACGATTTTCGGCTTGATACGCCGCTGGTCCACCACTTGAGCTATCGTGACCTCGATCCACTCGGACACCAACCTCCCGTCTCAACCATACCTTTTTGAATTTTCCCTCCTTTTTGCCATTTTTCAAATGTCGTGTAATCGGATTGGATTCTCGACGACAAATGAAATGGCCACGGAGATCATTAGTGAAGGTATACTTCATTTTAAACTTATTAAATTCACTAGTTTCGTGGTACGCTTGACCAAATAATATCCTACAATTAATTAAGGTTCAGTTGAGATGAAAAAGTCAATGGCCCTGAGAGGGAGATGGTAGTTGAGATGGGAGGTTAAGGTCCAAGTGGATCGACGTCACGAAAGCTCAAGTGGTAGAGTAGCGGCGTAACAAGCCGAAGATCGTGGGTTCGAATCCCGCTCGAGCCATTGACTTTTTTATCTCAACTGAAAACCTTAATTAATTGTAAGATATTAATTGGTCAAGCGGACCACGAAACTAGTGAATTTAATTTGTTTACATAGTTTCCTAAATAATAATAATAATTACATATTTAAAAATAAATTATTATGACAGCATTCTTATTCACACTTGCCATTTTCCTTAATTACGCAAAATGCCACCTATTTGAAATTACAATAAAATTTATAAAAGGCGTTCTTCTTTTTCCCCGTTATTGTTCACAATGTTTTGTCAGTTTATGTTTATACAATAGCCATTAGCATATAATGTAATGTTATTTGTTATATTATTATAAATGTTATATTGTTGCAGATTTTCCCGGGACGAGCACGTCGAACATTGACGTGGTCGGCAGCGGATTAGAAGTGGTCGAACCGGACTCGCTCGGTTCTACACAACTATTGTCCGTCCGATTTATTAGCAACAGCATTTCTGTATTTTCCGACAAAGCACTCCAGTAAGTAATTCCGTTATAATGACGAAAAAAAAACGTCAATACATCAAACAACGTACAAGTTTTGTTGAAGATTTAACCATTTTAATTGTAAACAATGATGGATTGGTCGATGTTGTTAATTAGGTTGAAGTCCATTACCCAAAACTACAATGACTAAGCATAGTTGAAAGGCATGCGAGACAAAGCAATTGACCAATTATAGCAATGGGCGTTTCACCATTTTACGTATAGCTATACAGCGTTGCCCGATTTAGTGTGTCAGCGCTTGGCCTGTTTGTTAATTAGAATAAAAAAAAGCAGCAATCGTATTATTGTTTTAACCAATCATTATTACAAAAAATTTCATTGAATAATTTAATTCATTAATCTAAATACAAGACAAAGTTTTATTTTTTATGAGTAGGTGAATTTAATTTCGATACTAGTCGCACAATTTCTACGGGAAAAAAAACCGAATACCATATTCGCAATCTCGTAGCTTTTACAATGCCGTACTTTTCCCTACTTTGTCCGGGAAAGACCACAGTCTTTGGCGCGGGGCCAAGGATATAAGCAGGTCGAAACGGCGTTCTCATTTTAATGAATTCTGCGAGTCACAGTCTGAATCCTGTACCAAAAAATGGAAGGGATGTATTTTTTCCACATACGAGTAGCAAAGCAATTAATTTTAAAGATAATCGATGTGTAAAGTTTAGATTAAGTAATAGACAATAATTTGATGTTAGTGATAAAGACTAATAGCTTAACTATTAGAATTTTTAAATACAAGAACTAATCCATTAATTGAAACTAAAATGAAACGGAATTACATTCAGGATCAAAGGATAGTTTAAAAAGCACTTTTTATTTTTTATTTGTTTATTTTTTAATGGGGCTCCTGGAATTATAATCATAATAGCCCCCAATGTACTACGAGGTCCGACGGGGTACTCCGTATTCCGCCAACGGTTCTCTTACACATTCACACAGACACAAAACTATATACATATAAATTATATACAATATTTATACTATAAACAACTTCATTTCCTTAAAAAATGAGAACGCGGCAGCCAACAAACACTGTCATGCCCAAGGGCTCCCATATATCGGATACCATGCCTACTCGCTCCCTGTAAGGTGGACAAGGCCTGGCACTCGTCGAACCAGTGACGAATTGAGCAAGTTTTCTCTAGAAGTGGTTTTTGTACGGGGTTCATAAAAGATGGTGTCTGTGTCAATCGTGTATGGCCTACCTTCAAACGGATTAGCACGTTGTCTTCTTTACGTTTTAAACCATTGGAGAGTCAGTCGTGCTTTTGGTACTCAAAAGCTTCTCTGTTGATCCAACCCATCGACACTGCCAACGTAATTTTATTGCGTTTTTTAATGCTCGTAAAGCGACATGAAGGCCGGATCGCGGTGGTACGGTCTGAAGGGCAGGAAGTCGCAGAATTCACGTACCGGCTGCACGTGCGGTTCCCTCCAGCCCAACGTGTACAGGTACCCATACGACTACCAACATTTTTTCCGAACTAACTCGCTAATTGCAACGGTATTCTCATTTTCCTTTTTGGATTGCGCTTCTGGAAGGCCCAAATTTTCGCATTTTATTGAAAAAATCTTTGTCGATGAAGGAGGGTCAAACTCTATATTTTCAGGAAATCCGTCTGGCTCTTGAGTTTTGTGCCAGTCCTACATTGTTCGATTCCATCTGTTTGCTTTATATTATCAGCAAACTACGTCCTCAGAATGGTGATTTAAATTATGTCTTTGTTTCCTAATGAACATCTAGCTGATATACATTTTATTTACGGTAATGGTTCTGCTGCAAGTAGAGAATACCGTTTTCCACATCGAGACGTCTAGCAGATCGCATCTACCAACGACTTCATCATAGTTTGAGGGAAACGGGTTCTTTCACTCGAAGAACGAGAGACAATCGGCTAATTGATGTAGAAGAATAAGGAAAAATCAACCCGCTGCTGGTGGTAATTTCCTTTCAAACTTGCTTGGTAATGGTAAAATACTTCCCGACGGTGGGTAACCCAAACTTTCCATTGTGAAACACCAGGGTCAATATATGACGCACGTTTACTGGTGATCGGGATCACGATTAACCGAATACAAAATGTCCTCAGGTACATAAAGCGCCATACAATTGACAGGAAATTTTACTAAGCTTTCAGAAGAAGAAGAAAATAAACTTTGTTGTTAAAGCCCCCATGAATAACAAAACTACATAATAGAGCCGTATCTGGACTCTTGGTCAACACAGACACAGAAGAAAATTTTAAACTTATACTAAAAGTGTACTGAATAAAATAATGGAAAAATTATGTTTTACAATACAGATGATTTAATAATAATTTTTAAATTCACTAATTTCGTGGTCAACGACCAATTAATATATTACAATTAATTAAGGTTTTTAGTTGAGATAAAAAAGTCAATGGCACGAGCGGGATTCGAACCCACGATCGCTCAAGTGGTAGAGCAGCGGCGTATCAAGCCGAAGATCGTGGGTTCGAATCCCGCTCGTGCCATTGACTTTTTGACTTCAACTAAAAACCTTAATTAATTGAAATAATTTTTAAATTATAATAACTGGTGCTAAGTTGCATTGACAGAAGGAAAGAAAATAGACGGGTCTTAAAAGTGAGGTCAAACAGAATGAAGAAGGGAATTCCTCTAAAGCTCAATTTGAAGTTTTCGTAAAAAGTGGAAGAATTAAAATATTCCCTTACTTTTGAATATCTAAAACTAGGAAAACAAGAAAATTGAAAATTATATATTTATGTTGTCTCAAGATGACGAAACCCCCGGCTTCCTGACTGGTTTCTGTTCTGCCCGTAACTGCGAGACTGACTGTCCCTTCGCATTCACATGGTATCATACCTTAGATCCTCTCTTTCTGTCCGCCAGGGAGAATCGTAGGTGATCTCAACTGATAATCTTGAGGTTACGTCACTGTGATTTACAACACATCCTTCCTGATGACATCGTCGTCCTCGACGTCAACAGCTGAAAGCGAAAACAGGTGCAGCAATTGTGTACCAAATCACTATTACTACATAAAATTATATTCATGAGCAAACATGCTCCGGAGTGGTGTAAGGACATCGCCACTCAAATCTAGTAACAGTGACCATGTAATGGTAACGGCTATACCATGCTTATGCACTCACTTGCTGAAATGTCAAGGCCACCGGGAGACTCAGCCCATAATTAGTAATAGGTAATCCTGTCAAATTGAGACATATTCATTCAGTAATAGGATTAGGTGGCAACGGGAAATGTGAATGCTGTCCTATGCTGTACTCACTGAGGATGTGAACCCATCCCACCTAGTGTTTAGTGTATATACTGCTCGAGACATTCTGCCCGTAACTGCGAGACTGACTATCCCTTCGCATTCGCATGGTATCATACCTTAGGTCCTCTATTTCTGTTACTGTCCGCCAGGGAGAATCGTAGGTGATCTCAACTGATAATCTTGAGGTTACGTCACTGTGATTTACAACATATATATAAATATATATATAAACAACACACATACACACATATATATATANTATATAATTTTTCTATTTTCTTTCATCATAACCTTTATGTTTTAACTTTTTTTTGTTTCATTTATCTAATTTCCTCCAATCATAATCAGTTCGATGAATCAATAAATCAAGAAATTATTTTATTTAATGATTAATAAATCAATTGGCATTGTATTTATAGGTTTTGAAAGTTTACATGTAGAGCATTATTTAAATCAATGTTTCAATGTGTTTTTCGAGGCGATTGAATTGAATGTGAAATGCGTTTAATCAACCATTGATTTGCACCATTGATAAATGACCTCAGTTGGTAATAATTGGTTTTCACGAGATCTATTTCAATAGATCAATTATCTTCTGCACAACAGTTTTAATAGAGATACAATTCTCTCTTTGGGAACAATCAGTCAATTAACGGTTGGAATTATGTTGAAATGCACCGATGCATGCTATTCTGCGTAGCATTTCGGTTTGTAAATCGTGACAGTTTCTTAAAATTTTTTCAAATAAAAAGTTTTAAATTGAAATGTTTCGAGTGTTGAGCAAAAATAACATTTCTAAAAATATATTTTAATTTTTATATTTTACGAAAACTGAAAAAACCTTATACTATTATTGTGATAATAATTGGAACTCAATCTTATCATATTACAGCGGCTAGTACTTTTTTAAAATTCTGTAAATGGCCAATTATGCAGAATTAGAAAAAAAAAAAATAAACAATTTGATTTGTTGTTCATCTTTATTTTTAAAACGTGCCAAAACATCATTATAGCTTCCTTCATTAAAGTATTTGATGATGTGGAATGTAGTCAAATATTGCTTTGTGTGTTTTTATTTTTCTTTCCACGATTATTGTGACCTTCCCCTAATTTTCTTCTTTCCCGTCGAAAATAAATTTGAACCTCCATAGAAATGTCTTCTCTCCAATCTGTTTACTTTTTTACTTTTCCTTGGAAAATATTGACATATGATTTTTTTACAAATTATTATTTATTCTTTTAATTAAGAGAATAATTCAATTGGAATTCATATGTGCCCTGGAACCGGATGGTTGCTATATTTTCCTGCATGCATTGAAAATCGCACTCGATGAAACTTTTGTATGTGACCGTTTACATGCAAATATGTTTAGGTCTGCTTGGCTATCTGTTCTTAAGAAGATAATTTTGGTAGTGTAACATCTGTAAAATTTTCTTTTGCCCAAGTATTATTTGCATGCATTTATGCTTGAAAAATTGTGGGTGCTTTTCTAAAAAATTTGATTCCTCATATTGTGGGCTTGTATTACTACAAACCTTTTTCCTTCATTCGTTTCGAAGCCATATAATGTATGTATTTGATTAGCTCCTGGTACCATCTTCTCTTTTGTAGCCTGTTAAAACTTTGTAGGCGGTTATGCTGCAAGGATGTAGTAGGGATCTTATAACCATTTTTCATTTCCCGGACTGTGGGTCTGATTTCATTTTAAATTGTTGAATGCCCAAAATGTTTCGTTTTTGTTATTCTCTTAT